ATATATATATATATATATATAAATATATATATATATATATATATATAAATATATATATATATATATATATATATATATATATATATATATATATATATATATATATATATATATATATGTGTGTGTGTGTGTGTGTGTGTGTGTGTGTGTGTGTGTGTGTATGTGTGTGTGTGTGTGTGTGTGTGTGTGTGTGTGTGTGTGTGTGTACACACACACACATATATATATATATATATATATATATATATATATATATATATATATATATATATATATATATATATATGAATATATATATGTATAATATATACATATATATATATATATATATATATATATATATATATATATATATATATATGTATATATATATATATATATATATATATATATATATATATATATATATATATATATATATATATATCACCAAGACTGTTTACAGCTTGTCTTGAGGAAATATTCAAGAAGTTAGAATGGAACGGAAAGGGTATCAAAATAGGAGCCGAATACTTAAACAATCTAAGATTTACAGATGATACCGTTCTCTCCAGTGAATCTGCAAATGAAATGCAGCAACTAATAAACGATCTGAATAGAGAAAGTCTGAAAGTCGGACCTAGGACGAACAAGAAAAAGTCTAAGAAAATGTTCAACAACAGAGTTCAATTCGAACAGATAGATGTACAAGGCGAAGCGTTAGAGGTAGTGGACAAATATATATACCTAGGGCAACTCGTACAGACAAACAAATCTAGTGAAGAGGAAATTAAGCGACGCATCAGTCTAGTCCTTAGCACTTTCGGCAGTCACAGTAGCCTACTAAGAGGCTCCTTGCCATTCAGTTTAAAAAGAAAAGTCATTAACCAATTTGTCATCTCAAGTTATGACCTGTGGATCAGAAACATGAATTACAAACAAATTACTGGAGAAGAAACTAATAAGTGCCCAGAGAGGGGCGGTTGATGCTGAGAATTAGCATAAGAGATCGGATGAGGGCGACGTGGATCAAGGAGCAGACAAAAGTGGAAGATATACTTGGGAGCATCAAAGAGAAAAAAATGGTAATGGGCAGGTCATATATGTGGGAGTCAGAGCGACAGACAGACAGAGAAACTAACAGACTGGGTTATAGATAACATAAAGAGGCCAAGGCCCAGACCAATGACAAGATGGCATGACGAAATAACTAAGTTTAGGGGCCAAGACTGGAAACAAAAAAACGCAAGACAAAGTTGCAAAAGATTGGGAGAGAGAGAGAGAGAGAAGGGATATAGAGATAGATATAAATCGATTGATAGATGGATAGCTAAATTAACATATTAAAGCGCAAATATATAATGAGAAGGTAAATATTGCATGAGACTGAGCAGATGTTGAAATTATCAGTAATCAGATGGTATAAGAGCGCCGAGAAAAATGTTCTACCAGCACTCTCGGCTCAGCAACATCATGGTGTGTCGCTTTAGACGCTTCGCTACTTTTGCTTTTGTAGTTTTTCATTTTACATGGCTGCAATCACACACACACACACACACAATATATATATATCACCAAGACTGTTTACAGCTTGTCTTGAGGAAATATTCAAGAAGTTAGAATGGAACGGAAAGGGTATCAAAATAGGAGCCGAATACTTAAACAATCTAAGATTTACAGATGATACCGTTCTCTTCCAGTGAATCTGCAAATGAAATGCAGCAACTAATAAACGATCTGAATAGAGAAAGTCTGAAAGTCGGACTTAGGACGAACAAGAAAAAGCCTAAGAAAATGTTCAACAACAGAGTTCAATTCGAACAGATAGATATACAAGGCGAAGCGTTAGAGGTAGTGGACAAATATATATACCTAGGGCAACTCGTACAGACAAACAAATCTAGTGAAGAGGAAATTAAGCGACGCATCAGTCTAGTCCTTAGCACTTTCGGCAGTCACAGTAGCCTACTAAGAGGCTCCTTGCCATTCAGTTTAAAAAGAAAAGTCATTAACCAATTTGTCATCTCAAGTTATGACCTGTGGATCAGAAACATGAATTACAAACAAATTACTGGAGAAGAAACTAATAAGTGCCCAGAGAGGGGCGGTTGATGCTGAGAATTAGCATAAGAGATCGGATGAGGGCGACGTGGATCAAGGAGCAGACAAAAGTGGAAGATATACTTGGGAGCATCAAAGAGAAAAAAAATGGTAATGGGCAGGTCATATATGTGGGAGTCAGAGCGACAGACAGACAGAGAAACTAACAGACTGGGTTATAGATAACATAAAGAGGCCAAGGCCCAGACCAATGACAAGATGGCATGACGAAATAACTAAGTTTAGGGGCCAAGACTGGAAACAAAAAAACGCAAGACAAAGTTGCAAAAGATTGGGAGAGAGAGAGAGAGAGAAGGGATATAGAGATAGATATAAATCGATTGATAGATGGATAGCTAAATTAACATATTAAAGCGCAAATATATAATGAGAAGGTAAATATTGCATGAGACTGAGCAGATGTTGAAATTATCAGTAATCAGATGGTATAAGAGCGCCGAGAAAAATGTTCTACCAGCACTCTCGGCTCAGCAACATCATGGTGTGTCGCTTTAGACGCTTCGCTACTTTTGCTTTTGTAGTTTTTCATTTTACATGGCTGCAATCACACACACACACACACACATATGTGTGTATGTGTGTGTGCGTGTGTGTGTAACTTTTTTGTGTAATCTACCCCTTCAGCCTTCATCCATCAAAATTTCCCCTTAATAAATGTTTTAATAATATATAATATATATATATTAATATATATCTTTATATATCATTCAGTGGCACCCTAATAAAAATTGATAATGAGTAGACATAACTTTTTCAATCTGATATTAATATGGTTTACTAATACCAACACTTCTCGATCAAAATATAATTTCAGTTTCGTGCCGTGTTACTAGCTGTCTGCGTGTCCCTGGCCTGGTCGGACACGCCGGCCAACTGCCTGTACGAGGACATCCGCGGCACATGGACCTTCCAGGAGACGGAGCGGTCGGGCGACAGCAGCCTCAGCTGCGACGAACTCGGCCCCGTCGTCCACACCAAGACCTTCACCCTCAGCTTCCCCGACACCGCCATGGATGAGCTCGGGAACGAAGGCACCTGGACCATGATCTGGAACCAAGGTTTTGAGGTGAGATAATGGGAATGTTGCCTTGCAGTTTTCTGTAGAGCTCAATGAATAAAGAGAGCTGTAGATATGTAGTTTGACCTGACGCGACATCTCTCTCCTCAAGGTTAACATCAACGAAAGGTCGTACTTCGCCTTCTCCTACTACGAGGGTGACTTTATCTCGTCTACCTCCTACTGCGACCGCACCTTTAACGGCTGGTCACGTGACAAGACCGTCAGGAACTGGTCTTGCTTCAGCGCCCAGAAGAACACGAAGGTGCGACGGCCCCCTGTGTGCAATCTCTATTCGTCCTTTGTTTACTTCATCATATGACCAGTATTTATTATAATGCACTTCCTTCACTGCACCTCTATCATTATCATTGTATATTCTTATACGGTACATTGCCTTTATTACTATCCGTTTTCATTTTGCGTCAAATATTCAAAACATTGCTTCTTTTCCTACTCCTGTACTCA